GAGACAACGGCCACAACCCTCGGCTACATCTCGTATCTCATGGCTCTCTATCCGGCAGCACAGGAGCGGATCCGCGCCGAAGTAGCCGAAGCGGTCGATTCAGACGGCGAGATCAACTACGAGACCCTCCAACGGCTGCCATACCTCGACGCCTGCCTAACCGAAACCCTACGCCTATACCCACCCGTCGCGCGACTGGAACGGGTGGCCTCCGAGGACATACCCCTCGGCGCCGACGGTGTGGTCGTACGTAAGAGACAAAGGGTTGAGATCCCGGTGTATGCCATACACCGGTCCGAGAAGTACTACTCGGAGCCCAACGAGTTTCGACCCGACCGGTGGTTACCCGAGAATAAGCACAAACTAGTGCCCTATGCGTACGTCCCGTTTGGCACCGGACCCCGCAATTGCCTGGGCATGAGGTTCGCACTGATGGAGGTCAAGTTGACGGTGGCGCATATTGTAATGCACTTTAGGTTTACCAAGGTACCACAGACTGAGATCCCAATACAGTTCTCTAATATGACCCCGATGTTGACCGCTAAGAGCATTACTCTCGGTCTTGAAAAGCGGTAATTAGGGGTCATGATCATTTTTGAATTTTTTATATAGATATTTAATTGTAAAATATAATATAAAAGACATATAAGTAGGAATGAAAATTTAATGAAAATTATAATAGATATTAATTAATATTAAATAGTAAATATTTAATTTAATTTAAGCTAAATTTGGAAATTTTAAGATTATCTTAAATCTTAAATGATAAATAAGTTATTGCTTAATTTACTAAAAATATTGTTGATAAACAATAAAAAATATTATGATCAATACAATTTTTTGAATTTACAATTTATTGTACAAATTAATGAATAGTTTATAACAAACTAAACGTAAATACTGTTTTTATATTGTATTGTTTTCTAAATAAAATATTTATTATTGTAAAATTCAAAATGTGAATATAAAATGCTTATTTATGATGAGGTTTTACCACGAGTTTAAAAGTTATGTGCAAAACGTGGTAAATGTACTGTCAATACATTATTGTTAGGAAACAATTGAAAACACGTTTTGTTTGTTTTAATTTTATTTAATGTGTGTTTTAATTAACCAATGTTCAACAAATTAAAATGTACAATTACCCTGATTCAAGCGACTTATTTTGCAAAACATGTATTACAAAATCATAAAAACTTAATTATGTCTATATATAAATATCATGTAAACAGTCTATAATATAGCCACTATTAAAAATTATATTAACTAAATACAGTATCTACATAGTGCATTTATCAAGGATGACTTATTATACTTAAAAATAAAATATCAGATTGCCGTAGGTCATATCTCCATAGTACGTTTTACGGGCACAGCATTGCCAGTGCCTTCGGGCACTCATTAGTGTATTGATTGAATGGACTTAAACCACGTGATATACATTGTTTGGTATCTGGGAATTTCTAAACAAATTAAATCTATATAAAAATGCACCTAAAATTTGCGCCAAATATATTGCAGAAAAGTATAAGGTTTGTGTAAAAGCTAGTGTTTGTTTGGATCTTTCTGTCTCATATAAGGTAACATTGTGTAACATAAAGATACATACCTTGCTCAATTAATTCTATTTTAGAATTTATTTATTAATTTTTAAATGATAATTTTTATTTATTAAAAAATATTAAAGTAATCATAAAAGTTATTATAAAAAACAATATTATTTTTAAAAACAATTCAGACTAATCGCTGTAATTCTTACAAATTGGTTACCATATTGTTTTAATTATAATAAGTGATACTAATCGCGACGATTGGGGGCCACGAGTAGAGCGCCGCCGTCGACAGGCATAATGAGTCCAGTGATGAACGACGCGCTGCGCTCGGAGGCCAAGAAGGCCACCGCTTCGGCCATGTCTTGCGGTTCGCCGATTCGGCC